CATCCACACAGTGGATGGGGGATGAGACCTGCTTTTTATTGATTAAATTCAACTACCTGTTCTACATGTCTGAGCACTTTTAAGTGACTGAGCAGGCACTGGGCAGTGAGTGTTGTTACAATCTGTTCCAGGGTCTGAAGCAGCCGTTGTCTGCAGTTGTGGCTGAGTGTGGTGGATGTGCTCCCAACCTCACCAGCACAAACCATTTTAACCCACTTCAAGAACAGCTCTGAAGTGCATCACGTGACACTAAGTGCATGTTCAAAACATCTGTCAGCCTTAATCTCATAGAGAACAAAACTCTGCTCTGCCCAGCCTTTGCTCTGCAGCTTCTCACACACAGTCAGGTGCCCAAAGGTGTCACTCACCTTTATCACCTGGATCTTTTCCATGTTCCGTGTGGCAGCCTCCCGTGTGTGAACCAGAACTGTGAAGGTGCAACCTGAGAGAGAAATGGCAGGTTCCAGCTCGGGGCACAGCTCCCAGGGGATGGGCCAAGCCAAGCAAAGCCAGGCATGAGGCTGTTTGGATCCGAGGGACGTTTACCTGGGGGGTTGTTGTCCAGCACAGCGTCGCACACGCTGATTTTCAGGATGAAGGCACGGAGTAACTGCTCCACGTGGGACAGCAGGGACTCAGAACTGTGGAGGACAGAGCAGTTGTTACTGGCACGCAGCAAAGGCCTGGAGCTGCTCCCAGAACAGCCCTTGGAGGCAGGTGTTGGATGCCATGGGCAAGCAGGAGGGGAAACCTCACCTAATGGAAAGCAGAGGCGGCTGGGTGATCTCGAAGACAAATCTCTCCACCGGGTGGTGCTCTTTATCCAGGATTACAACCACAACTTTCTCCACATCATTCTGCAAGAACAAAGATTAGAAAAATCCCTTCCTTAAAACAAGCTGTGTGCTGCCCCCAGTGTGCTTTGATATAGTGGGAGTGCACTCCCACTGTATTTGTTGGGGTTCACAGCACAAGCAGTTATCCAAAGCCTGAGCTCAGATTATCCTTAGCAATCAGAAAAATTGCTTTTGTAAAGCCACTTCTTGCTAGATTTTAAACTGACAGCTTGTGGCTAAGGCTGAGAGAGATGGGTGTGCTAAATTGTGTGTTTCTCTAGATCCTGTTTTGGAACAAAGGAGGAGATGCAGCCATCTCACTGCATCCCTCAGGGATGGACACTGAGGGAGGTAAGAAACACTCAGACCATTGGCCAAACAGAGCAGCTTTGTACAACTGATCTAATTCTGTTTTCTGAATATGCATTAAGATTGTCTGTGAAGATCAAGGAATACAAAACCTGCCAGCAGCCTCCTGGAATGTTTCACAGGTCACACCTTTCTCTTACAAAAGCATTCAAACTGTTCTGCCAGGACAGGTGCTTAAACTGGGATGGATTCAAAAGCAGAATGTTAAAGTGCAGGATGATGTAACTGGAAATACACACATATGTCCTCAGGTACAAGTAGGAGATGCAGCAAGGCCTTAACTGCCAGAAAAGGTTACAGGTGTTGCATTTAGTTTTGTTAGGAACTTTATCAGCTCATATAGTGTATATGGTAAATTAGTAAATAAAGGTTGCAATTAAGAGAGTATTTATGTTCTCTTACTTTCTATCAGAGCCACTTGCAGTACTTTGGTCCCTGACTTGCTCTCACCTTCTCCAGCAGTGGCTTTACACAATGCAGCGTGTCCTGGATGTACTGGTTCAGCTCTGGGTGGCAGGACATCTGTAGCAAACACAGGGAACAGTCAGAGCTGTGTCTGATGTGAAGCAGGGCAATGCTAAAAGGGGAGATTTAAACAGAAGCACCAGTGTGTACAAGGCACTCCAGTCACACTTCAAATACTGGTGAAAAATGCTGAGTTGCCCATTCAAACCAGCAATTCTTTCAGGGAAGGGTTAATCAACCCACACAGGTGTTGTCTATGAGGAATATACAGCCACAACAGTATATGGGGAATAGCATATTCCAACCATCCCTATTTCCTAGGAAACATGCTGTCCTGTTACCTCACTGCACAGAGCTGGGGAAGGCTTCTACTACTGCTGTCCATGACCTGCTTGTTCCATGAGCACTGCTGTATCCTCAGCTACAGGGCTGCTCTCCCTTATGACAGGAACTAATTTCCCTTCAAAAATGAGTTTGCACATTAAAACAATCACTTCCAGAGTACAAGTTTTTGTTCTAGTGACTGTTGACTGATCCTTGCTATTTTGCTTGTCCATGTGGCTGTCAGCTTCAGGGAAAATCTCCTACCTGGACAGGTACATTGTATTTTTTCCTCTTCTGAAAGATCCCAATGGGGTAAACTTCTCTGACGTACAAGATGAGGTGAACAGCCACTTCCAGGAACTCTGAAAGAACATCTGCAACAACTGAAAAACAGAAGTAAAGAATGCTGAAGGGGGGAGGGGGAAGGGGGGGGAAAGCAGAGCAATACCATAGACTCAGAGGAATTTTTTTAAAGGTATATTTTTTTTTGTACATAAATTTCGCCTGCATCCCCTTAGCTGCAGGAAGTTTAGGGACAGACCAACCCTCCAACAACTCTTAGTGGCAAGGAGAAGGCTCACAGGGGCATCAGCTGCAGTTCAGCACAACACGTTACCTTGCCCAAAGTTCAGGTCCTGCCGTGTGAGAGTTGTCATCTTCCCCAGGCCCTGGAAATAACCACAAAAGGAATGTTTATCCTTTGGCTGCTGTATTATGAACACAGTCAGCCCATGGAATCATCCACCTCTCCCATGCCCCTGCTGGCCCACAGACAGAGGTGTGAGCACCCTCTGCAACCACAGCCCTCAAGGATCACCAGCAGTGCACAAACCACAGTGTTCTGGCTCACACCTCCAACTGAGAGATCACCCATAATTTATTTCCTGCTTTTTTTCCACTCTCTCTCTCCCTTTTTGGGACACAGGTAAGTTCAGACCAATACTTTTTAGTAGCACAAGAAACACTGGTTTTTTAAAGCTTCCTATTCCTTTCCTTTTCTAGCCCTTTAGGCTCATCTCATCCACCCCCTACCGCAGGCAGGGACACTTTCCACTAGAGAGGTTGCTCCAAGCCCTGCCCCACCTCCTTGGACACTTGCAGGGATAGGGGATATCACGTAACTCTAATTCATCACGTCCAACCTCCCCGCGTCTATTCCGCGGGCTCCCAGGACAGCTGGCCCTGGCCCCAGCCGTGCCCTGCCCGCGGCTCGGCTCCCAGGGCAGGACCCTGCCCGCTGGGGTGTCTGTGATCCCGGGCAGGGGGGCTGGACCCCCGGGGCGCCCCGGCCCCGCTCCGCGCACGGCACCGCCTTTCCCCGGCATTCCCGGGCCCCGGACGGGGGCCCCGCATCGGCACGACCCCCCCGACTCGGTGTCCCCCCCAACCCCACTGTCCCCACGGTGTCCGTATGCCCAGTGTCCCCCCACCGCCCCCCGCGGGCTCCCCCCGGCCCCTGCTGGCCCTGTCCCACCTGTCACCCCCGTTCCCCCCTGGTCACCCCCGGTCGGTATCGGCCCCGCTGTTCCCCTCCCGTCCCCGCTGTCCCCCCGATCCCCGCTGTCCCCCCGCTGCGTACCGGCCCCTCTATCCCCCCAGTCTCCCCTGTCCGTACCGGCCCCTCTATCCCCCCAGTCTCCCCTGTCCGTACCGGTCCCTCCGCCCGTTTCTCTCCCGCCCAGCGCGGAGGGGGCGGGGGCGGCGCGCGCGGGTGACGTCACGCGCTTGTGCCGAGCGCCCCCCAGCGGGCGGGAGGAGCGGGCGCGGGGCCGGCGCTGCCCCCCGAGGCCCCCGCGGGTCCCGGAGCCCCCCGTTCGACCCCGCGGCTCCCCCGGCACGGCGGGGCCGGGGCGGGGGGGGACGCTGCGCCCCCGCTGGGTCGCTAACCCGCTCCGCGGCCGTAACGCCGGGGAGCCCCTATGGGGAGCGGGGGCGCGGAGCCCGCCCCGCCGCGCAGGTGAGCGGGGCCCGCCCGCCGCGCCCCCCTCGCCCCCCCGGCCCCGGGGCTGCCCCGCCTTTGTCTCCGTCCTTTGTCTGCCCCGTCCGTGCCCGGGGCAGGCACCGCTGCTGCCACCAGCACCCTGCGCTCCCGCACCTCCTCCTCCTCGGCGCTGGGCACCCCCGCGCCCTGCATCCCCTACAGCCCCCCCTGCA